AGGTGTTGGTTGCTGGCTGGCACAGGTTTCTTTTGTTGCTTCCAGTCTTTATGCAAATGTCTCTTAGCTAGGTGAGCCTAGCTTAGCATAAAGGCTGGAAGCAGCCACAGTAGGAGGAAACAGCTCACCTGGCTAAAAAAATAGACCTCTAAAGCTGGCTTACATCTTCTATTTCAGAAATCAATCTATCTATCTATAAGTTGCAAGCAGTGCATCACAATTCTTCAAGCCACAATCAAAACAAGGATGTTTATATTTTGTTGTTTGTTGTGAGGGAGCCTGCAGCTGACTGAAACTGAGAGAACTGATGATGAGCTAAATGCAGTGGTTTTTGAGCAGCATCAGATGACTATGTGATGTGACAGTCATACGACATAGAGAGAGAGCTTCCCATGATCAGTTTCCAGTGATTTAACACAGCAAGGAGGAGCTGAGGTCAACTTAGATCAATTATGTCCCATCGTCTGAGCCTCCTGCTGCTCCTGCTGTATGCTCCATGTGACACTAACGAACATAACAATCAGACGACTGATGGGCTGTTTGTTGACTGTCTTCACAAAGACATAAGAGCGAGGAGGATGAGCTGTAGTTGCTTTAAAAATCAATAAGGGGAGGAGGAAATTCCATTATCGAGGCATGTGGCCGTCCGAGGTAATAGTCTCGGTTAGACTCTAACCACTGCCTGAAGCTGTGCTCTGGTCCTGCAGACAGCTCTGTGGTTCCTGCAGGAGCAAGTGAGCTCTCTGCTGGCCAATGAACAACACTGAAAGACAAATAGAAGCAGAGAGACTGCACATAACCTACTATATAGACTTCATGAAGTATGTTTAAATGCAAAAAAAAAAAACAATAGCTGGGGCACCAAAAAAACTACTGTAAAATAACTATCATATAGCTTTAGTGAAGGGTTGTAATAAGGTGATCACAAAATGTACGACCCAGTCAGACAGTGTGGAATAAGATACATTCCTCCAATATATTTTGTTCCACGTGAATAGAGAAAAGTTATATTTACAAAATTCACTGCCACCAAATGTCGCAAAGCACCAGCATCTCATAATGGGTGCCACCAGACTCCATTGGCAAAACCTTCATTCAACCTTCAGTCATTTTACTGAGCAGATAAAAACACACATCAAAGTAGACAGAAACAAAATAAAACTCACCACCAACTGTCTCTGTTAGTCATTCCACTCTTTCCAACAATCACCAACTCTGGTTTGGTTGAAATAAATCCTCAATTCACTGACGTAGATGAGAAAAGACTTACAAAACTGGCT